AGAGAGAGAGAGAGAGAGAGAGAGTTGTGATAACAGCAGACCTTTGTGTGTACTTTTCTCTTTCTTCTGACTTCTCCACCCCCACGTTAGGGAAATACATCTACGGAATTACGAGGTACACAAACATACGTACATATGGGTTTCAAGGGATGGAGATAATCTTTTTTTTTTAATTATTTCCAAATTATGAATTTACTTATTATGTTGTACATCTTGTGTATATCCACACACATACACCTATGCGTACATACACATATAGAATTATATTTTTCTCTTATTTTTATTATTACAGTTTTTCTTCTGATGAGCGTACTTTTTTTTTTAAACTAATTTCTTATCAATGAATGCACGTGGATATTTTCTTTCATAAGTTTTCTCCTTTTACCACTGCCATTTTTACTGTTGTGGATAGCAGTAAAGGGAGAAAATGTATTTTTCTCTCCTTGTAAACATTACACTTCCACTTTCTAACGATTGGAATTGTTTATCTGTTTCCAGGAAGAGTTTCTTCAAGTTTTTTTTTTTTATTTGCTTTTTTGGCCCTTTGTTAATTTAAGTTGTATAGAGATGATACATATGTGTTGTGAAGTTAAGAGGAAACGCACTCACTGTGTGTTTTTTTTTTATTATTTTCTATTTACGTTTCTTTGTAGGTATTTAAGAAGAAAAAAAAAGAAGTTTGCCGTGCTTGTTGAGAGGGTCAATAAGCAGGGAATTGGAGAATCTATGGAAAAGCAAAGAAGAAAAGAGGAGGTATATAAAGGAGTTTAGACGTGAGCGGTGCGTTGTGTGTCTGTGTGTAGATTTCCTGTTTTTATCAGTTTTATCTATATCTATATCTATATCTATATCTATTTATCTCTCTTTATGGGTATTTATTTCTCTACATTAATCTTCTTTTTTTTCTTTTTTACACAATGAAACTGTTGCTCTTCTTCTTCTTTTATTTTTCTTCTCTTATTTACACATTGCATGTATGTATATTTTCTGTGCGTGCGAAAACAACCAACAGAAGGATAGAAGGTAACAGAGTAACATAGAGAAAATAGGAACTCTCTCTCTCGGTTTTACTCGTTCTCTTTCTTTCTACATTTGTTTGTTTCTTTGTGCTGAATAAATAAAAAAAAAAAAAAGCAAAAGGAATATAAGAGGGAAATAACAATACAGAAAAAGAGAAAAAAAAAGTAGGAACAGGATAATACAAGGGCATACATAGTTTGTTTTTTCTACAGAGTGAAGAGAGTAGAAGAATACTAAAGCCCTTTTATTTATTTATTATTTCACTTCTTTTTTTTTGTGAATACACTCACCGTTTCCTTTTTTCTGTTTTTTTTTTTCTTTTTTGTTCGTTGTGTCTTATTGCTCTTTTATTATTACTATATTACTATTACTATCACTATTTATCAATCATGCAGATGACTACTACTACTACTAATAATAATAATACTACTAATACTACTACTATTACTTTGACACCTGGTGCTACTGTTCCATCCCTTCCCATTGTTCTTCGGAAGGATGACAGTCTCGTTCTCGCCACGTTTTCAGAGAATCAACGAACTTTAACTGAAGTGGAGTCCAGTCGCATGACTGGAGACTACCGTGAATGTGAAGTTTGTTTTAATCCAGTGGAACAAACAGCATTTGCCCATGCTACCACAACACATGTGCGCTACAGTCAGTTGGTGCAACCAGATAAATCAGATGCGTGGGAGTTAAAATTGATGTTTGAAGTTGAAGAGAAAAATGTGGTGGCGTTATCCTTTTCTACATTGGGCAGTGTGTTAGTGACATACGCTATGATGGATGGAAAACGTCCGGAAGGAAATATGGCGATGTATGATGTTTCAACAGGAAATCTTTTACGTCGATGTGTACAAGCCCGTTGGCCTGGAATGGTGTGGTGCAGTCAAGAACAGTATTGTGTTCGTCCTGTGCAGGGATTTCTGCATGTTATGGAAGGTGATCTTCGTAAAGGAGAATCCACCGTATTGGCAAAGTTGGATCTTCAACTTCCACAGGATAAGGAAATGGAATTATCTATGTCTCCCAGCAATATGCCTATTCTTGCCATGTTTAAACCATTTCATAAACAAACACAAGGTACATTATTTATTTACCGCCTACCAAATTTACTTGAAGGGCCAATGTACCAAGTTTCTTTTGGTCGTGCAGAGTCTGCAACGTTGCTGTGGAGTGGATCAGGGAACCACATTGCATTACTTGTAAAGTGTGAGAGTGATAAGAGCGGTAAGAGTTACTATGGTACAGTGAAATTCTTTTTGGTGGATGTTGGTGGTCGAAATCTAAAGGAAATTAAATTTCCAAGTGGAGAGTCTGTACACGATTGTCAGTGGAGTCCTGCGGCCGATCACGTCATGGTGGTTCACGGTACAATGCCGCGGAACAAGACAACATTGTATGATAAAACAGGTGTGGCATTAATGACATTTGGTGAAGCTCCTCGAAATGTGATTCTATGGGCACCAAATGGACGTTTCTGTGTATTGGGTGGAACAGGAAATCTTGCTGGGGATTTTGTCTTTTATGATTTAAATCCTTCATCAAGTACTGGTAAAAGCATCAGAAATAATAATATTAATAATAATAATGGAGTATCTAATCAAAATAACTTAAATATTAATAATATTAATAATAATAATAATCGAGGAGCAAATGCATCATCTTCTGCTGTTGCCCTTATGACTGGTGAGTTTAATGAGAAAAGCAGTGTGCAGATGTGGGCACCTGACTCTCATGTATTTCTCTGCGCTACCATTTTCACCCGTCTTCGTATTGATAACAAACTTGTATTCTACAAAAACAATGGGGAACACCTACTAACGCAGAAATACCCTATACTCTATGGTGCTCATTGGGTACAAACGCAAGAGACAAATCTCTATCCTCTTCGCCCGGCATCACCACGAAAAGAAACTGACAAACCAGCAAAGCCACAACCATACCGACCACCACACGCAAGTGCTGCTGCTGCCGCACTCTTACGGCGACCAGACTCTTCTGCACCCAAACCAGCAAAACCTGCAGGACCTCCTGGAGCCAATATTGTTGTGACGAAAAAGAAGAAACGCTAGAGCGAAAAAGAAATTTTTTTTTTCTTCTTTTCCGTATACATTTTGTGTCTGTGTGTATGTATGTATGTTCTCTCATGCGTGTAAGAAAGAGGTGTGGATGTGCCCTTTCTCCCGGTAAGGGCCGATTAAAGATTAAAATCTGAGAACATAAGTGAATTGAAGAGCAAAAGAAGAGCTAAAGAGAGCGGAAGAAGGAAGAAAAAAAAAAAAAAAATGACAATCACAACTTCTTAACTCTTTATTTTTATTTTTTTTGAGGGACTTTTTTTTTTATTGTTTCGTTATTATTGTACGTTTCTTTCTTTTACCTTATTTTTTCTTTTTTCTTTTTATATCCCATCTCCACTACAATAAGAAAAGATACGAAACGAAAATGTTTTCCTCCTCAAGGCTTCTCTTTGCCTTTGGCACTACAACCATGTTGAGACTCACTCCCCGTTCAACCGGAGCAATAAGAAAGAAGAAAGATACACCACCGTTTGGCACGGCAACTGAATCCAAACTTCCAGAAACATCATCATCATCACAACACGTTGATGTTTTCCCGAGTGTGAAGGAATCTCTGGATCGTCTCTTGGGTGAAGCCGACAAAACACCCACTGATGAGAGAAATCCACAGACAACAAGTTTACAAGTGCCGTCTTTCTACAACCCGATGGATATCCGCGGTCAACTGTACGATGTGGAGATCGCAGGGCCTCTCCGCCGTGCCGCCGCCAACCGCTGGCGTTCGCCCGTTTGGGCCACACGTGCCGCTTTTGCCCGCAGCGGCCACAAAGTGCGAGCAGACGAGACGGGTGTACGTATTCCCACAAACATGCAAGAGGTGGAGATGTATAATCTCGAACAGACAGACGCCCCGGATGGTGTTATCAGTCGATCGCTAGCAAGAGAAGAAATGATGGCAGCAAATAGAATGATGCCACTAAATGCCGCGGGAAACCGATACTCTTTGTGGGTGCGTCGCATCCTGGAGCGACATCCCTCATTCCGTCAGTATACTTCGCCTTATTGGGCCACTGAGGAGGAGGTGGAAATGTTGGGTACGAAGGTGAAACGGTCGCAGGAGGGTTGTGGAATTCTCATCCAACACTTTTCATCTGCGTCTTCTGGGAATGCAGCTACATCATCAATATCATCAGGAGTTGAAGAAGAAAAAGCAGAATCAAAGGTACCGAATAATCAGGAAGAGAATGTTGGTACAGCATCATCTAATAATTTTTTCATGTTATACAATGCAGAACAGTTGGAAAATCCTGAAAAAATGACAAGCGAAACTTGCCCACCAACGGAATGTTTAAATATCAATGGACGGCGTTACAGTATTGCTGTTACGATTTGCATGCGTCAATACTGTCAAAAATATAATCTTCGTATGCAACCATTTGCTATGTTTGTCACATCTGCACGAGTTCGTGTAATGGGAGGTGATTTACTACCGAGAGAGAATGCTGTGCCACCCTTTACTTGTGTTATAAAGGATGAATTGGTGACATTTTATCATGCTGACCAAACAACCATATCAGATCAGTTGAATGCGATGGCCTTAACACGCCGCCGTGAGAGGATGGATCGCATTCCAGCAACTATTCTTTAACGTTCAAAAGGGTTGGACTTGGAGGAGGATGAGTGTATGTATGTGTGTCTACATCACAGGTACACAATAATAGAAAACTGTAATGGAGGTGAGGTAAAGAGTAAGAGACCTCAAAGCAAGTATTATTCACAGCAAAGGTATATCTCTGCGCATGTGCGGATATTATATTTGTGTCGCCGTGCGTTTTTGTTTTTTATTTTTATTTTTTTTGTTTTTGTTTCTGCAGCTTTAAGAGAAAAGAGCTGAGGAAAGGAGATAGGGTGGGGGAACGGAAACAGAAATGACAGATACGTAGTTTATTCACAGAACATAAATGAGAATGGTATGCATTCTTCGTTACCATTAGTTTATTCTTATTTCTTATTTCTTTACTCTTTTATGCTTTTTTTTTCTGGTTTTTTTTATTTCCTTTTTTTGGGGGTTTTTCGGTTTCAAAGTTTATTTATTTATTTATTTTTTAATGTTTCACAAATTTTTCCCACTCTGGCTGGCTTCTAAATCAACTAACAGAGTACAGAAAACCACAGATAATTAACAAAATACAGTTGATAATAAAAACTATATTGTCATTTTTCTTCTTTTCTTCATTTTTTTTTTTTCTCCCTGTTTGTTTTTGGATGTTTTAACAAAGTAGAGAAGTGGGTGGACTGCTATTGAGGGAAAGCAGCATAAGACAGTTGGTGCACGGATAATATACACAGCTCTTTAATATATCTGCTGTGGTGTATTTATCCCGTGTTGGTCTCTGTGTTTCTGTGTGGGGATTTATTCTCTTTTTTTTTACAAAGCAGTGAATACCTGAAAAGGGTTCAAAAGGAGTTTTCCCACTCTTAAATAATATTATATATATATATAGATATACCGATAGAACCGAAGAGACCGAGAAAAAAAAAAAAAATACCAAGAACAAGAAGAACCATACAAAACACTATAGATAGAAAAAGGCTCCTTCTCTCCTCTTTTATTGGACACAAATGTCACAAACAGAAGATGTGGAGGGGCTGCAGAAACGCCTGCAAGTAAGTGAAGAATGGAACATGCGGCTGCAGAGTCAAATTCAGGAGCTTTTACGTCTTCCACGGAGTGAAGTAGAGGCCATGCGAGGACGAATGCAGAATCCTGATATTGCCATTCCCCTCTTGCAGTGTTATGATGCCGCTATTCTTGAGAAACAAGAAGAAAACGAGCGACTGGTGATCGAAACAAATCGACTAAAGACACAACTTGAAGCCGCAGGAGTGGAGCTGCAGGACGCACGAGCCGCACAACAGGAGATGGAGGTACGATTGCAGGAAGCTCACAGTGTGCAACAGCAACGAGAAGAACAACTTAACGAACAACTACACGAGGCGCAGCGGTCTTCAACACGAATTCAACACGAATTATCCCGCAGTCTTGATGCGGAAGCCACACTACGGCGTGATGTGGAGCGTCTACAACAACAACTCGCTGAACTGCAGCATGAAACTACACACATACAAGAAGATAACGCCGCACTGCAGGAGGCAGCATTGCAGGCATCACGACGTCTTAAAAGTACCGCAAGTGCGGCAGAGGCGACACAGCAAGCGGGTGAAGTTCAACGTGTACAGTTACAATTACTTAGCAAAGAGAATGCGGATAAATTGCAGGAGTTGGAGCGGTTGCGGCTGCGCATGGTTCAAGCATTACGTCTCGCTTCTGAGAATCACGCCATACACATGAAGGCAGTGGAGGAGCGACACCGCGTGGCTATGGAAACACTACGTCAACAGGCAGCCACACAAGAGGCTGAGGTACTTAAACTACGTGCACAACTCGCACGCGTTGATGCTTCCAGTCCACACTGCAGTAAGAATAACTCACATTTGCGTTCCACAACAGAATTATTAGAGGCCCAGACGCGGCAGGCACTTGAAGTGGAAGTGAAACGACTTTACGGTGAGGTGTCGGCAATGCAAATGCAACGAGATGATGCAATGCTGCGGTATGAACAATTATCCAACAGTTTAAGACGTGAGGAGTCTGATCGGATGGCTGCTGTGCAACGTGAGACACAGATGCTGCAACAGAAAATACGTGATCAGGAGCAGCAATATCAGCAATTAGATATGGAATACAACCGTACAAAAGAAGAATTACGTCTTTTACGAGAAAAGTGTAAGGGTTACACTACGGAACTTCAAAATGTTCGACAAGAGCAGGATCAGTCACTTCGGAAGGTGGAAGAACTTCGTCGTGCTCTTACTACTGCGGAAGAGACATGTGAACAGGTGCGGCGAAAGGCGAAGGAAGATATCGCAGGTGAGAGGAAACGTGTGCAGGAACTTGAACAACATGTAGAGGGTGTTGCAAGGGATATGCAATCATCCAAGGACCGTGCACATGCGGCAACGCTAACGGCAGAAAGACAATGTGAAGAACTTCGTCATCAGCTGACAGAAGCTCAGGAGCGAGTAAAGACAGCACAGACACGACTCTCAACACGTGAACGTGAAGTGGAGGTATTGACGGCTAATGTGCAGCATTTGCAGGAGGCGGTGCGGCTTAATCAACAACAGGCATTAGCGTGTGATGGGCGTGTACAACAGTTATTACAGCAGGATGAAGAAAAGTCGAGAAAATTGCGGGAGATGACACTTTTGGTTGAGCGACTTAAAATGGAAGGCGCCCGTGCTGCTCGAGCACGTGATAGACTCATAGAAGATGTGAGTACTCGTATGTATTGACACATGCACACAAACATCTCTTTTTTCTTTTCTTTTATTTTTCACTATGATTATGTTTTTTTTTTTCTTTTCTTGTCTTTCCTTTCTTAGCTTGTTATTGTTATGATTATTATTATTGTTGCTGTCGTTTTTCTTTTTTAATAGTTATTCTCTTCTTTATGAGGCTGTTTGAAGTTTTCATTTTTTCTTTCTGAGGTCTTTCTCTGGATCCCTTTGGGTTGCTTTTTTTTTTTTTTTACTTCTATTTCTTCTCTCTCTCCTTTCTTTCTTCTTTCTTATATATATTTGTTTTTATATAGCATGTGGTGGCTGTAGCAGTGACTTGATCATTTCTGCGTGTTCGCCCTCCCACTCTCTTTCTTTCTCTCTGCGTGTCTCTTTTCAGCAGATACACCAAATACTTTTTCTTTTTTCCCAATTCCCACCTTTACGATAACAGTTATATAATCCAATGACAGAGAACGCAGAGCCGCAGTGTAGTATCACCGCAAAGCAGTGGGACACCGTCGCCGTGTGGTCGTGGGATGTGCGGGTGGAGACGTGTGCGATTTGCAAAAGTACTATTGCCGATCTCTGCATTGAGTGCCGTGGTGTAATGGATCTTGGGAGAAGTGCCGTTGCTGCTGATCACAACAGCAAAAACAATCAAAGTAGCAACAGTGTGGACAGAACAGTGGGCGGCCCAAGTACTGGTTTAGGGAGTTACGCTGCTGCTGCTGATCTACATCAACACAATCATAATGATGGAATATCAGACATTGCGGGCGGTGTTGGTAGTAGTATTAATAGTAATAGTAGTAGTGGTGGTGTTGCCGGTGATTGTCTACTTGTGTGGGGTGTCTGCAATCATGTCTTTCACGCCCACTGTCTCTCACGTTGGGTGCGGCAACGTCCAGTATGTCCCATTTGTGGAAGAGAGTGGGAGGTGTACAAGACTACTAGGAATGATTGATGGATGGATGGATGGATGGATGGATTGTAATTGTCTTTTTTTTGCTTCTTTCTTCTTTTTTTTCTTCTTCTTCTTCTTCTTCCAAAACTGATTACACTTGATGATAATAATAATAATATAGATGTAGAAGGAAACAAAAAATCACTAAAATATGATGAGACACAATAAAGTCAGATGTTAAGTTTGACGCCATGTGAATAATTTTTGTTTATGGAAGAGGGAGAAGAAAAAAGAAGCAAGGTGTAATTGTTAAAAAGTCAAAAGAAAAAAATAACAGTATGCTTAACGTGTAGAGTTCGTGATTATTCCTTTATTTTAGATTGACTCACTCTTTCTTATTATTGTTAAAACAGAGACATAAACGTATATATTTATATATATACACATATATATACATAATTCTTCTGTCGTGTTGTTGTTCTACTTTAAACTCCTTAGGAAAAGGGAAAGAAAAAGGGAGAAATAAAATCAAAAAAAAGAACATAGTAACGAAGAGGCAATTGAATACTTCAGGATATCAACCACCACATCAATATCAACACAAATAGAAACAAACATATTTTTGAGAGATCACCTCTCTTCTTTTCATTTTCTTGTGGTTTTTTCTTTCGTTGGCTGTTTTTCGTTTCTTTTTTGAATGCTACACGATTGTTGTGTAGAGTAGGTTTTGTTTTCTTGCGTTGTTCGCGTTTATATAATTCATTCCTATGGCGAGTGATAATACCACCGTGGATGGTGGACGCATTGCTGTTACCATCAAAGAGGCTTTTCTCTTCTATTCCTATGAAAACCCGCAGATAGCATCCCTTGAGTGTCTGGTGTGTAAAATACACTTAATAAACTGTTGTCTTGAGTGCCGTGTTAAGGATAAAAGTCTGCAGGAGTGTCCGGCGGTGAAGGGGGCGTGCGGTCATGTTTTTCACGATCACTGCATTCAAAGTTGGTGTCGACAGCGGCGTGAGTGCCCGGCATGTTTTAATAAATGGGTCCCGGAAACGTTTATACAACGCTCATAATAAGAAAAAGAGAGTCAGGGAGTCTGAGAGAGAGAGAGAGAAAAAAAAAAAAAAGAGAGAGAGAGAGTCTGTGTGTGTAATATATATATATATATATATATATATATATATATNATATATATATATATATATATATATATATATGCGGATATTATTTTTTTTCCTTTTTTTTTTCTTTATCCTTTATCAATATGTAGTATGTTTATTTGCGTTTGTATTGTCTGTGTATTGTGAGTGAGTGAGTGAGTGCGTGTAAGAAGGTACATGTGAAATGACTATTTCTGTGCTTTTCACTTTTTGTTATGGCACAGCTTCTATATTTATTTATTTGTCTCATTACATATTCATTTCTTTCTGTTCCTTTCTCATTTTTTTCAATTTTTATGAATCTTTGTATGTGGTTATTATTTCTTTTTTCTTTCTTTTCTTTTTGAATCTCTGTCGTAGTGGATGAATTGTATTTTGTTGTTTCTAGACTTTTTCTAAGCGAGCGAAAAACTAACAACAACAACAAAAAGAGGGGAAGAAAAGTTAATCGGCTGTGAATAAAAACCCGTAATAGTAAAGGAAAAGAAGTTAAACTCAAGAATAAAAAAACGAGAAAGTGAATTCAATATGTCAAATACTGCCAAGAAAATTCACCGCCCTTTAATAACTTCTGCTATTCTTATCGAGACTTCTATTGGATCTTTCATTGTTGATCTCTACGGTGTTGATTGCCCTGCAGCAACGGCAGAAGTTGTTAACTTGTGTCGTTCTAAATACTTTAATGGATGTATTGCGGCTGAAGTGGTTCCTGATAATATAATTCTCTTTTCACACCCTGTTGAACTCTTACAACGAGAGACATTTTCATCACTTGCGAGTAAAGAGTCTAGTCAAACACCAGGTACATGTAAACTAACATCAACAACATCTAATACTAATACTAGTACTAGTATGGACGAGTTGATGTTTAAAGAATGGGAAAGTATGAGAATGCGTACGGCGCGTTTGCGTCAACAACAAGGATCGTTATCCGTAGAATATGTACATCATTCACAGTTAGATGCGGTTGGTTCAATACGGCAACGAGGTTTATTGTTAGTTGAGGTTCCACAACTTTCAACTGGGGAATCTAATAGTAGTAACAATAACAATCGAATGAGTCGACTAGTGCTAACACTAAGTAATCGACACTTGGAATACTTTGAAAATCGTTTTATGGTTGTGGGTGAAGTACGAGAAGGAATTCGTGTTATTGAAAAAATGCGGGCAGCACCTCATGGACGTATTTCATCTGCAGCAGCTGCTTCTTCTTCTGTTGTTGGTGTTGCCAGCACTCGCCCTACACGACTTGTACGCATTAAACATACCACCGTTCTTTCAACACCTGGAACTGAAGTATTTACAGATCTTCACAGCACTACAGCTGAGTTAACAGGAGATGCAAAGACCATGTCGTATGCTTTTACAAAAACTGGTTGTTTTCGTTATTGGGCATCAAAGGAACAAGTGCAGGCTGCGAATAGAAGACTTGTATCTCTTATACAAAAATCTCTTACCTCTACTTGTACAGATTCATCTTTTATACTCTCCCCCCAAAACTCTGGTACACCAGAGACGGAGGAGAATAACACTATTATCTCTGTTGAGTACAATCCCCACTTCCACGGTGACTTTCTCAGCTCTGATGATGAGGGCGATGTGAATAAGAGCCGATCTGTTACTGCAGTGCGTGATGCCTGGCAGCAGGAGCGCCTTAATGAGACGCGGACGTTAGTGCTTGGACTTCTCGATGGTGTTCCCGACGCGGCGGATCTGCGGCCACCGGCGAATGTTCTTTTTGTCTGCCGATTGAATCCCCGCACAACTGCCGCTGGACTCGCCTCTTGTTTTGCGCAGTGTGGGGCTGTGCGGACTGTTGATATGCCGCGGGATGTGAACAGCGGCCGCACGTTGGGATACGCCTTTGTGGAGTTTGAGAGCGAGACGGCGTGCCACACCGCGCGGCAGCGAATGGACCGCGCCCTCGTGGACGATCACCGCATTCACGTGGACTATTCACAATCAGTGTCGAAGTTGTGGGCGCAGCGACAGCGAGAGGCCCGTAAGCGGCAGCGGGAGTAACCGTAAACGGGGATATCATATCTCTCTCTCTCTCTCTCTGTATCTATCTATATATATATATAGATAGATAGATAGATAGATAGATAGATAGATAGTGGGGTGAAGGGGTAGTGAGGAGGGCGTGTGTATGTGTGTTTGTATGTGTGTGTGTGTGGTTTATTTGTTGATTGTGTAACACAAGGGTGTGTTTAATCAGAAGAGATGCGAAACGATGAAGAAGAAGGATATGAAGAAAAGGAAGGAGAAACGTAAAGAAATATCACAACAAAAAAAAAAAAAGAAAGGAAGAAAGAATGACCATCTTTAAATGTCACACTGCAGATATCTGTCAATAGCCCTTTATTACTGTTTTCTTTTCAGTAAAGAATATTTTTTTTTTTATTTTTCCTTTTTTCTTTAAAAAAAAAATATTCTATTTCTTAATTTATTTCCTTAGATTTGACACTAATGACAGAAGCTGCTTTCCCATCATCATCATCTTCCTTTACTACTAATATTACTATTACTCCTGCTGCTGTTGCTATTGATGGTAATTCTACTGTAGGAGGAGAGAAACCAACACGACACAAGATTGTTCGATCTCTTTCAACTCCAGTGGATACTACATTTATTAGTCCTGATATTGTGGCTGCTAATACACCAGATGCTTTGAGAGCGGAGGCTATTCGCCGTATGGAGTCTTTTGTATTAATGACTATTCATGAAATTGTATCTTCACAACAACAACAACAACAAAAAGATAAATATACAGAAAAATTATCATCAATACCTCCTGCAAAGCGATCTCGTACAAGTGGTAGTGATATGAAAGTAAATCTTCAAGATAAAAATACATCTGAAACTTTTTCTTCTTCAGTAATGTTGCCGGAGAGTCGTCTTCGTGTGATTCAACAACAACTACTCGTTCTTCGACTTCTTTACAATAATCTTCATGTTGGAGTTATTAGCACTCAACGGGATATTTATTACCGCCTTGCACGACTTGTGCCGGATCAGGGATGTGTAAATCGTATTATTCAACAACTTGTGCAATTGCTGCATACACCCAGACAATGGCTTGGTGTTGTGCCTGGGACTCGTGGGTGTATTGGCGGTTGTGTGAGTTTTCACGGTGTGGATCTGAGGAGTTACGGTTCGGAAGGATTGCCACTACCCATTCATCAGGAGGAACTACACGTCTCTCCACATTTCATGTATAAACGTATAAATGAAAGAAATACAAATACAGCAGGAATATATAATAATAATAATAATAATAATAATAATAATAATAATAATAATAATAATAATAATAATGTTAAAGAGGGATTTGAACTTTTTGATGAAATACGTTATATTATTGTGATTGAGAAACATGCTGTATTCTTTCGGTTAATGGAGGAACAACTCTTTAAACGTATTCCATGTGTACTTCTCACTTCTCATGGTTTTCCAACAGTGGCGGCACGAACACTATTGGCGAATATGCACACTGCCGCTCCACACATTCCTGTAGTTGCACTTGTGGATTACAATCCAAGTGGTCTTTCTATTCTACAACAATATAAACATGGTACAGGCCAGACAAAGGAGGGTCAATATATTGCTGTACACGCCATTCGTTGGCTTGGTTTGCGTTCTTCTCACATTCTTCAGAAGGAGAATTCTCCTCCTATTAATACTACTACTATTAATCCTAATTCTAATTCTAATTCTAATTCTAATATGAGTTTACGTCTTGCTGCTCATATTCCTTTTCAACGCTTTACGCATCGTGATTCTGTGATGTTGACAAATCTCCTCACGAGATGGCGGGCTGCTTTTGAAGTAGATGATGTGAACAGGAGAACTGCGGTCTCTGAAGTGTGGTATGAGGAGGCACTGAGGATGCAAAAACTGCAAGTAAAGGTGGAATTAGAAGCACTATATGATCACAGCCCAGATAAAATAATGGAAGAAGAAAAAGAAGAAGAAACAACAACAACAACAACAGCTGCAGGGGAAGCAGAAATAATAAGAAGAATATCTTCTTTACATAAGGTTTCAGATCATCACAGTTTCGCGTCTTGGGTTTGTCGAACTATTCTCCGACAGGACTACATATGACAGTGAATAAACTATACAGAGTTATTATTATTTATTATTATTATTTTTTCAGACTCTTCTTTTTGTGTATTTTATTAATTGGATTTTTTTGGTTTTACCTTCTCGGTTATTTTTTTCTGTTTGGTTTTTTTTTTTTCTCTTTCACATGTAATGCTGAAAGATTATTTTAAACATTATTTTAGCCTTCCAGTTTTTGTTAAATTCATATTTCTATTGATTAAGTTTTTCTTTTCTTTGTTGTACGTATATATGTATATATACATTCAAAATATCTTTTTTCTTTTCTTTTCTTCCTTCTCTATTTTTATGTGTGTATTGTAAACACACACACACCTCTGTGTGTATATATGTGTGTTTGTTTAAGAAAGAAAAATAATAAAACAGCGAATGCATATTACTGCGTGAGTGAATGATCATACAAAACCAAAACACAATATCCTGAGGTGAGTAAAAGAAAAAAGGAAAAAAAAAGAAAGAAAAATATATATTAGTAGAGTGATAACAACAAGAAGAATAATAAGAATAAAATGTCTCTTAAAGATAGTTTAAAGAAACATTTCTGTGCGGTGTTGGAACTCATACTTCCTCCATGCACCACCACATCATTAGTTCCAAATGGTGTAAACTCTACTATTACTACTAGTACTAATAGTAATAGTAATATTATTAATAATAATGGTAATAATAGTGATAGTACTGTTCCTTACTTTGATTGGGTTCAGTACAGTGATGATGTACACGATGTGTCCAGCACAACGGAAGTTGTCACTTTACTCTTAGCGAATGAATTGTCGCTTGGCGGGCGTCTCTTCAACATTTGCGTAAATGCATGGAAAGAGTGCAAATCCCAACAGAAGGAAGAAAAAGAAAAAGAAAAAGATAAAGAAGAAGAAGAGAAGGAGGAACTGCGATTACTTCTACAGACTACACTTATAACGGTATTGACAGATTATCACTGCGGTGCCTCACATATCGAACGGGATATTGTTAATACAAATATTACCGAACAAAATAATAATAATAATAATAATAATAATAATAATAATAATAATAATAGTGTTATTGCATCTCCTATGCATGAAAGTGGTTGTTCGCTTACACTCCTGGTTCGAAGAGCAGCAAGTCTGATAGGACGAAATGAGTCCTGGGGAGAATCCTTTACTGTAGATGATATGGAGAATACAGATGCGGTGGAAGATGTAGATTATATGGATGCTATTCAACGACTGTGTGTATTTGTTGTTTCTGTCGCTGAGAAGGTTGCTGCTGCGGCGGCGGCCAAGCCTTTCTTATCATACAATTCCCCACAACAAGGTAAGAGTGTGTGTAAACGGGAGAGAGACGAAGATGCATGTGTAGAAATAGAGGAGAAAGAAAAGGTAAAAGAGGAATGGTTTGAAGTGATAGATGAGGATTCCATTCACCAAAAAGAAGAAGAAGATGAACAGATGTATGGAAGAAGAGAGATGGAGAAGCCAGTGAAGATAGCAGATATACTTTCTAATGTGAATAATACTCCTGTGGATATTTCCTCTACGAACAGAGAAACTCTTTCAGAAGTGGGAAGTGTCATAGCGGCTTTAAGTAAAGCCTGTGAGGCCCGCACACTGTTGGATGCCTCCGCCTGGCAGTATGGGCGAAATAGAATCACGTTGGCGTCCATGACAGTCATTCTGCAGGATTCATCTCATCATCATAATTCTCCCCCTCATGAAAAGAATGAGAATCACAATAATAATAATAATAATAATAATAGTAATAGTGTTAGTAAAACTGTGAGTGATACGGATAGGCTTCCAGTGATTATAAAAGCCGAAGAAAGTGATCATCTTATGGCAATGACAGTAACACCTTCAGAGCACAATAACGATAATAACAAGAATAGTGATAACGATACTGTATGTGTAACTACAATAAAAGAGAAGGGACCGCAGCAGTTAGTCGGTTACTTCATGCATGAGACAGCCACATTGTATACAAATCAAGGCAAACGATATTATATGGAAATACCGTGATAGACATGTTTATGTATATGTACCTCTCTATATTACAACATCAACAACAACGGGAAGAAGAAGAAGAAGGAAAAAAAAGAAAAGAAAAAAAAAGAAATTGAAATGTAAATACAGACATTCAAAGATAATAAAATAAAAAAAAAAAGTGAAAAAAGAAAACATGCCATTTATTCTTCCTTTCTTCTTTTCTTTCTTGCAGCCACTCATTCATACACTTTTCCATATACATATATACATATATATATATATATATATATATATACATTCAGAACACTGTCTCGAATTCCCCGCGTGGTGTTTGTTGGCGTCTGCGGCTGCAGTGCGTCCGGCAAGACTGTCGTTGCGCAGCGGCTGGCGTTGTTGTTGAGATCTCCGCTGCGGCCTCTTTGCGTGGATGAGTTCTTCAACGAGAAGATGTGCACAGCGCTGGGGACGTGGGAGGATCCACGGTGTGTGTCCGGCCACCGCTACGCACAGCTCCTAGCAACAATACGGCAAAGACTACAGAAACGTCATCTCTACAGTAGCGACAGTAAAGAAACAACAACAACAACACGAAGAAGAAGAAGTGATTCTGCGGTTGCGTGTTTGCAGGACTTGCAGGAGGTTGCACCATTTCTGTATAATCAAGTACAGACAGAGAGGAATGAGGGAAACAACAACAACAACAACAACAACAACAGTTCTGACAGTAAGAAGGAGAATAATAATGGAGAGTCATTAGTGGAAACAGAGCCGCAGGAAATTCTATCGGATGAGTCATTTGTGGGAAATGAAGAGATAAGTTTATATCATCATTCTCACCATGGAACTGAGAATACGGAGGAGTTCTGTGATAATAATAATAATAATAATAATAATAATAATAATAATAATAATAATACGGAGAAGGATAATAGAAGAGAAATAGACCATGTGGATGGGGATGAAATAATATATATTGTCTGTGAAGGGTTTCTCCTATATGCATATCCATCTATTTGTGAACAGTTGGATTACTTTCTCTTTCTTGATATTGATGATGAGACGGCCTGTTTGCGGCGATTCTTCCGCACACCGCGCCGTCATCCAAGACAGAAGGGATGTGCGAAACGCATTGAACGTATGTTGTACTGCAGAAAGAATCTTTTACCAAATGTTAACACAATGGAAATATCAGAAGAAACATCACTACTACCAATCTCGTTTTCTACAATTAAACCGCGATTGGTGTATATTCCACCATTACCGTCCATACCAGGCGATTATGTTCGCTTCTGGCAACAAGAGGAGTATAAACAACAACAAGCACCATCCTTTGGTAATAATAATAATAATAATAATAATAATAATAATAATAATAATTGGAGTGGGCCATTGTGTGCGTGGATGGAAGTGAAGGATCTTTCATACATTACAGAGATGCTAAAGACACAAGCTAAATCCGTAAAAGAGATGAAAAATAATAATAGTAATAAAAATACTGAGAATAAGAATGAGAATAGTGATTCATTAATCCAACGCTATTTTGAGTATCGCTATTGGTTTTATTTTGAGGTACTCTTTTACTTCCATCAATTACGTCCTATGATTGAGCAGAATGTAGAAGAAGCCTGTAAAAAGAAGAATAATAATAATAGAAAAGATATTCATCATCGTGTTTGGCGTATCACTTGTGGGGCAGGTGTATCGGATAGAAGGATGGAAGAACAACTACAGTCATTTTTAACGTATTTAAGAGAGAGTGAAAGAGAAAGTGAAAGAGAAGGTGTACAATCTTAACAGTGATATTAAGGATTCAAATGATAATCGGAACGAGTGTTGTTGTTATTATTATTATTTGAGAATGCTGGCGCCAACGAATATGTAGTGTTGTAGTGGTCTAGTGTATTACCTTCTTATATATATATATATATATATATATATATATTGCTTTTAATATGTGTTTTTTTTCTTTTTCTTTTTTTCTTTTTGTAAAGATTTTTCGATAAGGAAATCAACAAAAAATAAAATAAAAAAACCTAGAATTCTCTCTCCCCATTTGGGTTCTTTCTTTGACTCAATCATATATATATATATATATATATATTTATATCTGGTGAGACCATCAAAAAAGAAAAAGAAAGAGAAAAAAAAAAGTATTATATATTTATTATTACGAAAAGGGTATCGTGTTTATTTTGAGAATAAATCCGTAGTATCATATACAAAGTAGTTTTTTTCCTTTTTCTTTTTTAGTCAAGCCTTTTTTTTAGTTTTTTTTTTCTCTCTCTTTCTCTTTTGTGTTTCTTTTCATTGTGAGAAATGGGATTCACTTCTTATTATGATGATTACTATGCCGTAGATGATGGCAACAACAATTCATGTCTTTTATTTTTCCGTGCTCTCATGATGTGTGTGAATGTCCTCTTGACGGCTGGTGCTGTGAGCGGCCTCACCGTTGGTTTGATTGAACGCAGTAAAGTGGAGTCCACACTGAAGGAATTGTGCCCGTACTGCACGGCGGTGTTTACGGCGTACATTGTGGCCTTTGCGGCTCTTCTCGCCTTTTCACTTCTCGGCTTTCTCGCGCTCTGTACACGAAATGTGTGTTTGCGTATTTTATACTTTATCTCTCTGCTGGTGGTGTTTGCGGTGGCGCTGGCGGTCTCGTTGACGTACGCCCTTCTCGGCTCTCAACATATTGACTTGGAGCGTGGATGGAAAGATGCGGCCACTCAACACAGTGCGGAGTTGTGTGCGTTTGAACTGCAGTTTGAGTGTTCGGGATGGAAGACCGTATGTAATGATTCCACAAGAGATTCCATTTGGATGGCAATGGATAAGGATATTAATAATAATAATAATAATAATAATAATAATATTAATAATAATAATAATAATAATAATAATATTAATATTAATGGTATTAAGAATACGACGGATGGAGTGTGTCCAGTGTGTAGTCCGGAGGATCAGGAGAAGATCAATGGGTTTACATCTACCTGTGAGGGAGTTGTGCGGAAAGTAATCGCCGATCACATGAAAGAAGTACTGCCGATTGGATTCGCCATCACTGCAGTCGCATTCATTGGGATGATTGTGACTTGTCTGCTGCAGCACAAGACCAGAGATGATGGTCCTTACATTGGACGCTACTACCGTGTGTAAACAAGAAATATATATATATATATGTCTTTATTAGATGTACATGCACTTAGTACACACTTGTGTAATGTACATGTTTCTCTATGCTTATCACTGCTTTACTGTTATTATTATTATTATTATTATTATTATTGATATTTTCTCTTTTTTGCCTTTCAGTGCCTTTTTGTGTGTTTTTTTTTCCCCCCTGCAAGTCTGTGTATAATATGACTTGCATTCATGTACTGACTCTTGTTTACTCTTCTTGTTGGGATCTCTAAAAATGACATGCAACCCGTTATTAAAAAGTCTTTAATTGATATCTGTGTTTTTATTTTTATTATTTCTATTATTATTATTATTATTATTATTATTATTATTATTATTATTATTATTACTATTATTATTAATATTATTAGTATTGCTCTATACTAAATCTCTATTACTCTTTTCCCTATGCATACCTGACTACTATGAATAACAAATTGGGGTAATTGTTGTTGTTACCACTCTTATGAGTGTTATTTTTAGTAGTGTTTAGTGAAAGTTGTGGGTGTGGGCAAATACGTGTGTTTTCTCTCTTCTTTTTTACACAGTGGTCCACACAAGAATAAAGTGAGTAAATAAGAGAGACGTTTACAATCAAACAAACAAACAAAGATCAATGAAATCAAAGGAAAAAAGAAAGAAAAAAAAAGAAAAAGAAAAAAAAAAAACGGTCAAAAGGGGAAAAAACACGAGTGAACGTACGAAAAGAAAAAAAAATATTTGGACGTTACTATTACTTTATTATTATTATTATTATTATTATTATTATTATTATTATTGTATTAATTATCATTCTTTCTATGATGATATAAACAAGTGAACATCATTTACAGAGATGACATGAAACGATTGATGCGGTACCTTCCCGTAATGGACCTCACGTGTGTGTGTGTGTTTTCTCCTCTTCATTTCTCTTTTTACGATTACACACAAACACTCGTGTGTTGTTTTTAATGGGAACTAAAGTGATGTGATGTGGAGATGAAGAATAACACGGAGGAACAAATAATACAGAGAAAAAAAAATAAGAAAAAACAACGATATATATATATGCAGTGTTGCGAAGGAAATGGAAAAAAAAAAAAAACAGATGAACACAAAAAAGGAAAGAAACAAATTATTGACTTGAAGTTTTTTTTTTTTTTTTTGGTTATTTTTGCTTTTCTTCTTCCTGTTGGCCCCTCTGTTTTTTTTTTTTTTTTGTTTAGATGAATTTCCCAGAAAAAAAAGAAATTCTCTATTACTCTGCATTAGCACGGGGCTGGGAATGAGATAGAATAAACATTCAACCTTTACAACATCTATATAGAAGTATATATATATATATATATATATATATATTAGATATATATACAGTTGTTTATAGATATATCGGTTTGTTTGACTGGTGTATGCCTCTTCTCTCTTTTTTGTTTGTTTTTCTCTCTTTTGATTGTGATCTTTTAACAAAAAAAAAAAAAAAAAGACAGTTTGCGGTTTCCAATTAGCACACATACTCACACTCACACACACGCACACACACACTCGCCCACGTGTAAACAAACGAATAAAAGAAAAAAAAGTAAATTAGGAGGAAGTAAAAAGAAAAAAAAAATTAAGCGCCAATTTCTTAACTCTGAAATACAAATAAAGAGAAAAAAAAACAAAACAAGTATATATACGAAAGTAAAGTAAAAAAAAGAAAAGGAAAGAAGGGAAACTCAGTAAATTAAAAAAAAAGGAACCGGAAAAAAAATATTAACAAAAGACAGACTATCTTGTGTTCTTTTTTTTTTCTTTGTTTTTAGCATCGTTTTTACTATTTCAGCGAACTAAAAACAAAAGCAAAAACAACAACAACAACAACAACAACAACAAAAACAAGAAGAGGAAGAATAAGAAGAAGAATAACAGCACCGACAAGAATCATTCGTATTTAAAGGGCCGTACTCACATAGAGAAAACATCGGATTTCACTTGAGCAAATTTCAATCGGCATCACGTTTGGCTCTGTGAATTTTCTAGTATTGCCTTCTAAATAGTAATTATAATAAATATTATTTTGGCTCCTGTTATTACTACTAGTACCGTTGAAAGCACTACTACTATTAAGTATTATTATTATTATTATTATTACTGTTAACACTAGTAAGAAGAAGAACAAGAACATCAACAACATCAACAAGAAGAAGAATACGAAAGAAAAAACAGGAAAACATTTATTTTAATTATGGAAAAACGAACAAAGGCTGAGTTGATTCTGCATGGCGGCGAGCGTTTTCAGGGCTTCTCCTTTGGCTATGATGAGAGTGTGGCGGGTGAAGTGGTATTTGCCACAGGTATGGTTGGATACCCAGAGAGTCTTACAGATCCATCGTATCAGGGACAAATTCTCGTGTTAACATCTCCCATGATTGGAAATTACGGTATTCCTCCTCTTGAGGTGGATCACTTTGGAATGACAAAGTTTTTTGAAAGCATGAATGGTAAAATTCACGTCAGTGCCGTGGTGGTTTCAGAGTACTGTGAAGATCCTTCGCATTGGCAACTCTACGAGACACTTGGACAATGGTTGCAGCGAAATAAGATTCCAGGTTTAATGATGGTGGATACACGCAGTATTGTGTTAAAACTTCGTGAAATGGGAACAGCGCTTGGAAAGATTGTGATTGGAGGCGCAGATGTTCCTTTTGTAGATCCCAATACACGTAATTTGGTAGCAGAAGTTAGCACAACAACTCGCCGCACATATGGACATGGTACACTTATTATCCTTGTAATTGATATGGGAGTAAAATTAAATACATTAAGGTGTTTATTAAGATATGATGTCACACTTGTGGTGATTCCACATGATTGGGATATCACAAAGGAAACATATGATGGTCTCTTTATTTCAAATGGTCCTGGTAATCCACAGATGTGTACAAAGACGATTGAAAATGTTCGATGGGCTCTTACACAGGATAAACCTATTTTTGGTATTTGTATGGGTAATCAAATGTTAGCACTTGCAGCTGGAGGAAGTACATATAAAATGAAATACGGCCATCGTGGACAAAATCAACCGTGTACATGCCGAATTGATGGAAAAGTGGTAATTACAACACAAAATCACGGTTTCGCTGTTGATTTTAAATCTATGCCTCAAGATGAATGGTGTGAATATTTTTATAATCCAAATGATGATAGTAATGAAGGTTTATGGCATAAAACGAAACCTTTCTGTGCCGTACAGTTTCACCCTGAAGGACGTTGTGGACCTCAAGATACAGAATACCTTTTTGGTGAATTTATTGAACGTGTAAAACTATCTAAAGTTAAATTGGCGGCTAAACATAAACCTCGTAAAGTACTCGTACTTGGAGCAGGTGGTATTGTAATTGCACAAGCCGGTGAATTTGATTATAGTGGTTCTCAATGTCTAAAGGCATTACGTGAAGAAGGAATAGAAACAGTACTTGTAAATCCAAATATTGCTACTGTGCAAACAGATGATGAGATGGCAGATCATCTTTACTTTGTTCCTATCACACCAGATGCAGTGGAACGTGTGATTGAAAAGGAACGACCAGATGGTATTTTACTTGGATGGGGAGGTCAAACCGCATTAAATTGTGGTTTAGAACTCGAACGTCTTGGCGTATTAAAAAAATATAATGTTCAAGTACTTGGTACTCCTATTTCTACAATTGCCGTTACAGAAGACAGAGAACTTTTCCGTAATGCTTTATTACAAATTAATGAACAAGTGGCGAAATCCGCAGCTGTTACTTCTGTAGAGGAAGCAGTAAAGATCTCTACTACTATTGGATATCCCATGATGGTACGTGCGGCCTATTGTCTGGGTGGTCAAGGTAGTGGTATTGTAAATAATGAAGAGGAGTTAAAGCATAAGGTGGAAATTGCTCTTGCGGCTTCACCACAAGTTTTATTAGAAGAAAGTGTGGCTGGATGGAAAGAAATTGAATATGAAGTTGTACGAGATATTTATGATAATTGTATTACGGTATGTAATATGGAAAATTTTGATCCTATGGGTATTCATACAGGAGATTCTATTGTTGTGGCTCCATCCCAAACATTAACAAATGATGAATATCATATGCTTCGTAGTGCATCTATTAAGATTATTCGTCATCTTGGTATTATTGGTGAATGTAATATTCAATACGGTCTTGATCCTTATTCACATCGTTATGTTGTTATTGAAGTAAATGCCCGTTTATCTCGTTCTTCTGCATTGGCATCTAAAGCCACTGGATATCCACTTGCCCACGTTGCAGCTAAGATTGCTCTTGGTAAAGGTCTTTTTGAAATTGCGAATGGTGTTACTAAGACTACCATGGCATGTTTTGAACCTAGTCTTGATTACATTGTTGTAAAGGCTCCAAGATGGGATCTTAATAAATTTAATATGGTAAGTGATGAAATTGGCTCCATGATGCGTAGTGTTGGTGAAGTGATGGCTATTGGACGTACATTTGAAGAATCTTTACAAAAGGCATTGCGAATGGTGGATCCATCTCATACTGGATTTGATGTTCCTGTACGTTTGGAATCTAAAAAATCATGGGATTATATGCATTATGTGAAGGTTCCTACACCAGATCGTATTTTTGCTATTTGTCGTGCTTTCCATGAAGGTGTTTCTGTAGAAGAAATTCATGCCTTGACAAAAATTAATACCTTCTTCCTTAAGAAATTACAAAAACTTATTATTTTACAGGATAATATGGTAAAATTATATAAAGGACAAATAAGTACAATGCCACATGATTTCTTACTGAACATGAAGGCTCATGGATTTAGTGATATTCAAATTGGTAAATATATGGATTGTACCGCAGATGCTGTACGTGCTCGACGTATGGAATTAAATATTTCTCCTAAAGTTAAACAAATTGATACAGTGGCTGGTGAATATCCTGCTGCTCAATGCTGTTATTTATATACCAGCTATAATGCTCAAAATGATGATGTGGATTTCTCAGAGCGTATGTATGCTGTACTTGGATGTGGTGTTTACCGTATTGGTAACAGTGTAGAGTTTGACTATGGAGGTGTTCTCGTTGCCCGTGAATTACGTCGTCTTGGAAATAAAGTTATTCTTATTAATTATAATCCTGAAACTGTTTCTACCGATTATGATGAATGTGATCGTCTCTACTTTGAAGAGGTTTCTGAGGAAAGTGTTTTGGATATTTTACTTAAGGAACGTATTCGTGGTGTTGTGATTTCTCTTGGTGGACAAATTGTACAAAATATGGCTCTTCGACTCAAACAACATGGACTTCCTATTCTTGGTACAGATCCAGTGAATGTGGATAAGGCAGAAGATCGTAATAAGTTTTCTAAAATGTGTGATGATCTTGGTGTACCTCAACCAGAGTGGATTCTCTCTACCAGTGTAGAGCAAGTTCATGATTTCTGTGAACGTGTGGGTTTCCCAACACTTGTTCGTCCAAGTTACGTTTTAAGTGGATCTGCTATGGCTGTTATTGGAAGTGCAGCAGATATTGATCGTTACTTAACAGAAGCTTCACTTGTTTCTGGTGAACATCCAGTTGTGGTAAGTAAATACTATGAAGGTGCGATGGAATATGATGTTGATATTGTGGCTCATCATGGAAGAGTTCTTTGTTATGCTATTTGTGAACATGTGGAAAATGCTGGTGTTCACTCTGGTGATGCTACAATGTTTTTACCTCCTCAATATACAGATAAAGATACGATGAAACATATTTATGATGCCGCAACACGAATTGCAGAAGAATTGGATGTAGTGGGTCCTATGAATGTACAATTTTTACTTACAAAAGATAAACAATTACGTGTTATTGAAGCTAATATTCGTAGTTCACGTTCTGTTCCATTTGTTTCAAAGACTCTTGGTATTTCATTCCCTGCTGTTATGGTATCCGCATTTCTCTCTCAGCGAGAATCCGATCTTGTTCCTATTAAACGTGCAAAGATGACACATATTGGATGTAAGGCTTCTATGTTTTCATTTAATCGCTTAGCGGGTGCAGATCCAATTTTAGGAGTAGAAATGTCTTCCACAGGTGAGATTGGTGTATTTGGCCGAGATAGAAATGAAGTTTTCCTGAAAGCTTTACTCTGTCAAAACTTCCGTTACCCAGAACGTGGTGTATTTATCAGTTGTGATGTGGATTCTATGGCAGAAGAACTTTGTCCATATTTTGCTCGTATTGCCCAACGTTTCCCATTATTTACTTCTACCCAAACATCAGCTGTACTTTCAGAGTATGGTATTAAACACACTGTATTAACTCAACGACACGAAGACAGTAACCCAACATATGATGCTGCCGTTGCTACAAAGGAATTATTTGATCTTGTTATTCAATTACGTGATAAACGTAATGATTTTGTTCTTCGTCGTTGTACACGTGAAACGGCTCCACCAGACTATTGGGTACGTAGACTTGCAGTGGATTATAATATTTCTCTTCTTACAGAACCAAATGTGGTAAAAATGTTCTGTGAAACTCTACATATTCCACTTCATGCTATTGAAATTGAACCTTTCCGTAATTATGTCCCACGTGTCTATCATAAGATTGAAAATGATAACTGTGCCATGCTGCGTCGTCATAAGGTGGGTCTCTGTATTACTAGCAGAAATGACAGTAAAGTATTGGCGATTCGACTACGTGAGGAAAAAATTGCGCTTACATGTTTCCACGCTTGTCTTGGTGGTATTCATGCTTCCAGTGAGGCTGTTGCAGAACAATTCCGAGGAATGGGAGTACCAGTTGAAGTTGTGGATTTGCGTTGCCAATTAGCAGAACTTTCATTTGATATGGTAATGGCTATGGTAGGAGATGAAACCAATAATTGGCATCTTCCCGGTTTAAGTCAACATGTGATGGGTATTCATCTTCTTAAGGCTATGCGGGATCGACATATGACTGTGGTAGCACAAAGTTCATCACGTGGAAAGAAGGAACTTAACTTTGAACGTTATGTACGTACATTTTATCCACAAATGGGTGTTTATAACCCATGGCGCGATCCACGTCTGCTTTGTGATTTCCCTAATCCTGCTGATAAGATTGCCTTTTTACGTAAGTATGGTGTAAAGGCTACCAACACACAAGTTGTGGAACACAGCAGTATATGTGGTGTTACTTATCAAGTGCAGGATGTACGTAATCTTCCAGCTCCACAAATTGTTCGTCCAATTCGTGAATGCCCGCAATCCCCTGAATTCTGTTCTCTTACCTTCCGTGCGGCCCGTTGTGTGAATATTAATGGTACAGAAGTTACTCCACTGCAAGCCCTTCAAATGGCAAATGAAATTGCTGGTCGAAATGGTGTTGGAATGGTTCGTACACGTGATGGTAATATGTATGAAGCCCCTGGTATGGCTTTACTCTCAAAGGCCCTTCGCTTCTTATATGATGTTTGCTTTGATCGCAATGCGGCTGATATGTTCCGTCTCTACTCTAGCCACATTGCCTCTCAACTGGCCGCTCAATCTCTGATGGAGCGCCATACTCAATCAGCACTAGAGGCAGTTCGCTATCTCACCACAGAAGTCGATGGTGTTGTGGAGGTGGAACTCAATCAAGGCGAAATCATCTTTTTGAAGATGTCGCATGTGACTAAGCCGGTGACGAAGCGCACAACGAAGATTGTAACGGAGGAGGAATTGGAGGAAGTGTTCCAACCAGGCAACGGATCCTTCAGTGATGTGCAGTGGTAAGAGAGAGAGAGAAAGAAAGAGAGATAGATGGAGAGAGCAAAGGAGAGTAAGAGAGGAATAAAAAAAAAAAAAAGGGAAAATGATAAAAGATGATATGAAATTACTTTTTTTTTCTTTTTTTTTCTTTACTTTTTCGTTGTTTTTTTTGTTTTTTTTTTGTTTTTTTGATGTTGTATGTTGTTGTGAGCATTGTGATGTGGTTCTCTGGTTTTTTTTTTTGTGTGTGTGTGTGTTTGGATACATTTACTTTATTCTACATCAGCGGAAGGATGATTCTGCAGATAAGGAGAGGAAGTAAGTGAGAAACCAGACAAATCAAGAAGATCAAGAAGAAAACGAAAACAGCGCTCAGAAGAAAAAGTAAAAGTGAAGATATACAGTGTTGAATACGAGACCAATAAGAGAACCAATAAAAGAAAAAAAAAAAACAATCACGACGGTTTAAAGGATATATATATATATATATATATATATATAT